TTCATCCTAGTAAACTCYAAGCAAGCAGTAGAGTTACTGAAATCTGATCGACGGGCACTTGCAGTTGCCTACTCCTCATTTCATCCCAAACTCCCTCAGATWCACCAAAACTATGGAGCACAGTGAGGCTTTTCTCCTCTTCTGGAGGGTAACAATGCAGAATTCATCCCTCATTGGAAGCCAGAAACCAGGATGACTGAATTCCACAGATCAGCTGGGCTCTCCCAAAACAAAGGCAGGATTTAAGCCCCTCCTGTTATCCCTCCCATCTCATTCAGAACGGGCAGGCTGCTCAAAGCAAACACAGGCATTTGAAAACCAGGAAACACAGCAGAGATGCTATCCTCGTGTTGAGCAAGAAGGGCAGCGTGCACAGATAAGGGCACMTTTTCCACGCGCATGTTGAGCTGTTAAGCAAGAAGAGCCATTTTTTAGATTTTTCAGCACCTTCTACAATTGTACTGGAACAGCAGGCTGGGAACCAAGGCTCAGACAGCATTAGCCTTTCCTGTATTTCGCTGTATTTCACCAAAACCTTTTTGATGCACTTGCACAGCACTAGAACCCTACTGAGGAGCCCAGTCTTTAATCCTTATCTCAGTCCACCGAGTACCTTGCCAGACCCATCACTTCTCTCATGCCTCTTAGGAAGCAGAGACAGTTCACCTCTTTCACAGAGAAAAATCAAGGTCTCCCATGACGATCGGGGTTCAAGCTGCGAGCACTGTTTTACATACAGCACCGAAAGAAGCTTTCGTACCTATGGCCAGAATTTTTGTCTGTTCAAGAAGAAAGTTTCTTCTTTTAAGCCAGCAATCAGGAAGTTATTTGGGGCTGTATCTAGAGTACTGAGATGAGTTTGCAAACCTCTGGAAAGAGGAAATAGAGGCATACTGATACAGATGCATCACTTAGCTGTCTCATCTCCTTCCTTTCAGCTAGCAATAGCCATGCGAGGGCACACACAAAAGCTGCATTCACTGTGCAAAGCTAAAATGAATAAAAGCTAGAAGCTCTGAGACTGGAGGAGTATGCCTATGTGTTCTTTATCATCCAAATATACTGAGGGAAGGAGCACGCACCCACTGAGAAATGCAATATGCCTCTTTTCAGCATTGCACGGTGCAAACTGTCCCTGTGGAGCAGGGCAACTGCCAGCGACAAGATGAGACACAAGGCAGCTCTGTGGGTTTGACAAYAGGCAAGTGAAAGCAGAGCACAAGATGGCATCTTCTGGGGGAGAGTGAATGGATTACGATGTGCAAGGAACAAGGATTAGGGCTGCACCTAGGGAATACCCCATACAGGCAGGTCATCATCATCACCACTTGCCCTTCATGCAACACAAGACACTACAGCTGCCACGTTACCCAAGGGTGGCCACAGAAGCAAAACTCAGCCTGTGATTTGCACGCGCTTGGTTGCAGCTCGGCAATGACATGATCAATTCTGCACTATTTTTCAGAAACATGTGCAGGAGGCAGTCTGAACTCCATGCAAAACAACCCTTCTTCCCATAACTTCTTTAATRAACAGCTACAACACTCCATTCAACACGATCCCCTAACTCATTCCAGCTAACCTCCTCTGATGTTAGTTCCACATATTTGCTATTACTCAAAAGCAACTTCAATTCTGTAAGCRTAACCAGAAAAGCAAGAAAACAGCATGAAGTATAATGCACATTCTCTTGGAACAGAGCCATACAGCTGACCACACCATCCTATGGGGCTGCTAGAACTAGTCACTCGTGCTTCCCTGCTTTGGCTTATAACACCCTGAACTGTCACTGCTGAGAGGACTTTTTATATAGCAAATACCCACCATGGACATGCCATTGATTATTCACTGCATTGCACGGTTTAGTTTGTAAAAGGCTTGTATTTCAGTTATTGCTATTTAAAAATATTTGTTTACAAGCAGATCCTTTGGAAGGATTCTTATATAAACTAATGCTCATGTTCTCTGCATCTTCACTGACTGCTCTGGGGCTATATTTGGATCAAAATCACACGGGAGGGCCTAGAGACGCCCTCTTATATACAACCGAGCCCATTACACATTTTAGAAAAGTGAACTCAAGCGCCAACATTGAGTTTGAGGATACACAGGGATTATGAGATTAGAATCCCACTGGCTTGCTGGGAGGATTCAGCAAGATAACTACAAATTACTTAGAGGGCTAGTGTCAAAAGGACCGCTGTACTTATTTAGCCTCTGCTCTAGATTACTGACCCACTTACCGAGCGCTAAGCACCCCTGCCGTGCCAGGCCAACACCCACTCCATCTGCTTGCTTCTGCTTTCTCAGAACCCCTATTAGGCCACATAAGAAGTTGTGTTAATTACCACAAGAGCAGCTTGATTTGTACACATTGTATCAGCCTTATAGTATGTGGTCACCTTGACAGATGGGGCAGGAACAGAAGGATTCTCAGCGCTGCAGGATATTAAGTGACATGGGAAGCACGTGCACGTTTCTGAATTGGGAATTTTATTCAACTTTTGCCAAAGCTTCTTTCAGTTTGGAGAWGAGCCTCCACGTTTTTAAGCTACTTTGGGTTTTGACCATGCAAGGGTATGGAGGAGTTAAACATTGCATCAAAGTCAGGAAATTTCCAGTGGGATCAAAAATTTGTACAGCCACAAGTGAAATTTCTGTTGATAATGCAATAGTTTGGAGAAGAGGCAAACAGCACAGGTCAATAACTCTTCTGCTTAAATAAGAGTAGGTATGTCAGAAYTGTAGCTTAATAGCTTTGTACCCCAAACTTCTTACTGGTTAGGAAGAAAAAAAATTTCAAATTTAGTATATTTTTCTAAATTTTGCCTGATGACCTACAGCTCTTTGGGTGATCCACTGAAGATGGTCTCAAGAAGAGGTTTTATTAACTTCTTAAACTGAAGAACAAGAATCTCCCCAAATCATTACAGTATTGAGCTGTCATCTGTTCATTCTTCAGCAGCCAGAGTGCTGCTGTCAAAGTAAAATAAGACCAACAGTCTAAAACCCAACTACAAAACTAAATTTTGTGGAGCACTGCTGGCAGCCCGAGTACCATCTAGCCTTTAACACCACAGCCACATTTGTTTAAAAGTAAATGTTGTACAAAAGCCAACACCACCAGAAGTGCTCTGCAGCAACCAGCTTCTTCCCAAGACAGTCAAGGAGTAAAATCTAGCAAAACCTGGTCCTTTTCAGAGTTGACTCCAGAAGAGCTGAGAACAGTGTGCCACACTGCTCATTGCTACACAGAGACTGCATTGCACAGAGCAGATAACAYATCTTTGCATTCTGTTTTAAAGAGTTATTTACTGTTATTACTGTAGCATAAGAGGTCACAGAGGCAAGGGGAATCACTTTAATACAAAGACAAGCGCCCTGGGAAAACAACTGTAAATTGGCGAGCTCTTTTTATCTTCTAACAGGGGCGAAGTGGTAACACATACCACCCCAGTAGGCCTGCAGGACAGCATCAAGAAGTCTAACATTTGGCCAAAAGGTAGATTCAGTGTGCGTCAAGAGAGTGGTTGTAAGGCACATTTAGTTTCCATCACACAAAGTCTTCTTCTAGTTGACCAGTCTTTGACATGGTAAAGACTTGGCCAAAAAGATACGGAACTATCTCAATCATAAACATATCCCCCAAAGAGTTTTATGTCAGCCTAACAATCCACACTAAGATCACRAAGCTCTAACAGATGCTGCATTTCTGATTGTTTTCAGAGTGTCAAAAGGAGGAGAGCAGAAGAGAAAGCCAGAGAATTTTGAGACTACTCTAGGGGAATGAATRAACAAATAAAGCAGAGTGCAGCAGTAGAAACAAAAGGTGAATCAAGAAAAGAAAAAGCAGAGAATTTAAATAGCCACAGCTTCAGAGAACAGGCAAGACTTTCTGAGAAAGTTATGTCAAATCTAGAAGAGAATGCTAAAACCATTATTAGATAAAGGCTGTAATACATTTGATACATGGAAACCATTACTGACACCAGTTAAATCTAGTTTGTGCTATGATTAGTACRAAGTTGAAAAGTATAGAGGGACCAATGTGCCAATATAGAAACCAAGCTCATAAAAGGCATGTTGCTTCCCTCCCTTCGAAACTATTTTAAGTGTCAAGGAGCTGGTGGCCTAGAACATTCCAGGGTCACAAGATCCTGCAACTTTTTCATAACAAGGGGAAAAAAAAAAAATTACCAGTGATTTGATCTTTATGTTGCACACTTAACGAGCTTACACATGCACCTTAGTGGGAATTCTGTACAACACAAATCTCGAGTACATCATATTAATACTTACAAACACAACCCTTGCCTCTCGCACAGCAGTTGCTATGAATTAAGTTGAAAGTCAAAGGGGTAGAATGCAAGGCGTTCACCTAAATGTACATACATATAAAGGAGCAGAAGAAAATTTCTAGAAATACTCCACGTTATTAAATGGAAAGCACTTTCATTAACCAATAGCAAGTAATAATTACAGTAAATAAAYTGATCTGCAGGCAACCTGCCTCCAAAGATAAGATCCCCCTTCCAAAGGGAGAAGGAAGGCAGCTTGTACAACTTTAATTAAGCCACTGAAAAGCAGTAATTAGATGACTGAAGTGTTGACCAAGGAAAACAAGTCAATTTTTTGTTATGTGAAAGTGTAGGTTCAAGTAAGCCCCTCCAATTATAGACAGGGTTATTAAATAAAAGTTTAAAGCAGTGCTACAAACTAAAAGCTGTGCTAGGCACCACAACGATGTATACAAATTATAATCCAGTTGGCAATGCAAAATGACTGTAAAATTATTAGAAATTTTGATTTTTACAAAGCATGTGATTCAGCTGTAAGAGGTGAAGCAAGCACTTAGAAGCAAAATAGGTTATAAAGGCTTTTTTTTCCAGAAAATAATCGAAAGCATGCAACTAGTTTCTTTGTTTATTCACAAGATATTCTAAACATCCACCCAGTCATTTCTTAATCGCTATTAACAATTTCAAACACAACAAGCTTACCTTGGTATCGTCACACATTTTGTATTGCAATTTTGAGTGGTAATTGCCTTCTCCAGCTCATCCAGCTGCCCCGTTTTCTTTAGCTTCTTCACCAGGCTTTTCACTGCTTTTTCACACCACTTTTCCTCCTGGCCATTCTGCTCTCCACCACCAGCCCCTCCAGAGCCACCAGCAGACTTTTTCCACCCCAGAAGTCTCTTCACCACCGGTGGAGTGAACGGCAATATGGATGACATGATTTTCACCAGCCAGAACACTCAGCACGCAATAAATTAGAGGTGCCCGTCAGATCCCTAAAAACACAAACCAGAACAGACACGTTAGCAACTCAGGCATTACATAAAGCAAATACCTTGCTAGGAACTTCATTACCAAACACCATAGGGTGCAGGCTCCCCGAGTAAACCCGATAACAGTTCAAAACCAGTCTGCACCATGAACAGTTAAATCACCAAAGAGATTTAAGTGCAAGTTTCTGCACACCCTTGCTTTTCCCTCAACAGTTTGTGCAAATTAGTACACCAATTTGATCACAGAATGGTTGAGGTTGGAAGGGACCTCTAGGGATTGTCTAACTCAACCCCCTTCTAAGCAGGAGCACCTACATTTCTGACACCCTGATGTTTGATTAGGTAATTTTTCTGCCCAAATCTTCCCTGGCTAAAGTTTCATCTCTTCAGTAAAAATAAGAATGAACTTTAGTCTATCTTTGCACCTCAAATGGGGGTTTTTAGTCATTTATGAAAACATTAATGATTGACACATTGTAAATACAGATTGGTTATGTTCTGTTGGACCTCAAATTAATTTACCAAGCAAAATTGTATTTGGAACGTCATTTGGTCTTCACAGCTTGACAAAAGTCTTCCAATAGTCAGCAAATCGACAAGCCTTTTGTCTTCTTTGCCATAATTTAAATAACACTTGCTCCACAGGGGATGTTAATTTGAACTTCACTCTTCAARTTTGGTGTTGAGCTTACGTTCTTCATCCAATTTAGAATAAAATGGCCTACAGACAGCACACCTTCTCAAGTGGAACTACCTGAAACGATTTGGAGTCTTCCCAAATTCTTTGAAGGATCTGTACGATATGGCTTTTCAGGTACCTGAGCTGTGGATCTGCTTGTCCATTGTCATTGTTGATAACCTCACATTCACTATCTGCCCCCTGGATCAGATTGTCTATGTAAAATGAAAGATTAGACTGAAAATATCCAGCTTTTCCCGTGAGTTACACTTTAAATCATATAAAAGAGAAATAATAGTCAGCAAAACACTTCTTGGTTTTGCAGCCTCTATTAGGCTAGCTTTAGGTATTAAAACATAAGCCCCAAATCAGCTGTATTGTTTTGGGCAGACAGCTATTAGAGCTTGCCTGAGGACATCGTGGTCCTGGGGACAAAAGCGTGGCATGAAAGCCAAAAGATAAAACTTATTCCCAAGCAGCAACTGGGTATTTGAATTTCAGAAAGGTGCCCTGTTTCCTAACTTCAGTATCTGTAGCTGTGTGAGCTAGTTCAGTGAACTGAAAAATCTGATTTTAGCTAAGAATCAATGCTACCTTCAAGATACCTGATCAGAGAGCTGAATGTACCTTCCATGCCTCACCATCCTGCACAGACACACTTCTATTTTACTTCATTAAAATTTCACCCATTTGCAAAATAGCACCCTTGATTTGGGAGCATTTAAGTCAAACTATTCAGGATTAATTTATGCTTTGTCAATGTCTTAGCAGCTTCAGAAAGAACCAACAAGTCAACAAAAGATACATTATATTAATAGCTTAAAATTGTAGCTTTTTGACTTCCACAAAGCTGAGCATTTCATAGAAAGGCTATTTTATTTCCAGGTAAATTATAACCTCCACAAAATAGCTTCTGAGACTACTTGAAAATATTACTGAAGACTGAATTAGAGCCGTCTGGGCTCCAGGAGACAGTTTCTGATTAACAGGCACTCAAGATTAACACTGCTAATTTTAGGAAACGGATTCAAAATAATCCATTAATCTTAAATCAAGAGTATTCATTTCATACAAGACTACAATATGAAAATAACTCCCAGTAACATTAAATTATTGCAGAATTATGTCCAGTTGCGTCCAACCTGACCGCAGGTCAGGTTTTGCAGCCAGCAGAACCATTCTACTGGAATCCTGGCTGCAGCAAAGAAGAAAAATAAACATAATATCCAACATCTTAAAATTAAATTCTGAACAGGACGCTCAAGCTACACTCTCATGGGGAGCTAAGCCAATGCAGCAACTTTTTGTCATGTCCACGTCTTGATTTTCCCTTTCTCCCCACCTTTTCCTATGCACCAGCCTTAACATATGTTAGACCTTTCCACCAAGACTTAGTTAAACTAGCAGAAAATGATGAAGTTTTTGACTGAGTCAGTTTTTTTCCAAATTAACAGGTAACATCTGCTCACACACAGTGCTGCAAGTACCAGCATTGACACCTGGCAATCTAAAGCAGCACAGACCAAAGACAAATTATACTCTTAACTTGCTGTATAAAGTGGCTCCAGAGACAAAACAGGAGGCTTACGTAGCCTCTGCTGTTTTAAGAAATGCTCCTACTAAGCTTCTGAAAGGGGAAACTGGTCTAGATGTTCCAGGTGTGACTTGGAATAGCAGTAGCTCTGGACTTTATTAATAAAGACACACAACTTCTGAGCAGGGCCAGCACTAAGACTTGACGCATACGCTAGAAATTCCCAAAAAACAACCAGAGAGAAATCTATTTTGCCACAAAGACCACATTTAAACACCAGTAACTGATGGTTTGAAGTCTGAGCACGAAATCCAATGTTTAGACAAGATGACAACTACAAGGACCAACACGGATGCTTACTCACACAACTCTCCTCAGATCTATGGAGCTCATCCCCACAAAATCCTCATACTTCCTGTTCTTTAGCTTCAGGTTTGCCACCTTTCAATGTCCCAGGATAATTACTGGATGGCCAGTCTCATAAAACACATTTCACTAAGGCCTCATCCACTACCAAGTGAACTTGCCTATTTTCACAAGCCCTTTAAAAACACTCCATGCCTCTATTTCTTCTGAGCACCCCTTGAGATGAGATGTCCAGTTTTACAGTTTTCACTCCCTTAAGACATAATATTGATCTATGAATTTATCCCTATTAATATATATTTTTCAGTGTCCTCCGGCTCTTAAATAAAATTTGCCTTTCTGCTTCAAACGTATGTTAAGTGATCCAACGTTTGCAGTGAGGAATTCAGCCCCACATGTACCAGTTCTTCTTTACATTTTAATTCTTAAGCTATTTTGACACATTCAAAAGCAAAAGCCTTCCTTTCCCCATTTTCAAAGGGCTGTCAGTTCAGACCTAACTAGCCAGAATTTTTCAGAGAGTTTATTTACCGTTTTACTCAGTTCCTTTACCTACGTGTTTATAGTGCAGTTTCTGTAGAAGTTGAACAAAAGAAAAGACAGAGCTGTTACCCCATTAGCAATGAGAACAACTAAAAAACATCTATATCTACTTTACAAGTACTTTATTACACTGAKTATTGCACCTTAACAGATGATTAGAAAAATAAACATACAGCACAGCTGTGGTCTAAGATTCTGGGAAGTTTAAACTAGCTGCTCCCTTCCAGTCATTGGTATGCTATGTGCCACTGAAGTTCATTAAGTTATTCCAGTAACAACCCAGTACCTTTAAAAGGCAGAGCAGAGAGAACGTGACACAAGTAAGCCAGGACTTCATTCAGCCTAAAACTTTACCGATTGCAATATTCTCTTGCCAGGAGTCTATTTCAGCTGAGTATTTCTGCAGAAGTTACTTTCTGCTCCAAAGGTAAAGGAGGTTCTACAAAGTACGTGGCACATTTAGCTTGWATCCCAAACAATTCAGACAAATCTAAATTGCACAAGGACAAGGCAGCAAGGCAGGYGCACCACTCTTCTGACCCAGTGGCACATTCTTATTACTTTACAGCAGCAAAAAGATGCGCTATTCACAGTAAAGCACAAGAGCAGGGCTGCTTTGYGCAGCCAGTTCCCTCCCAGCAGCAACATTAAAGGTTCCTTTCCCATATAGTAGACATTTATGGACTGTTGTCCATCAATTTATCTAATCATTTCCAGACCTAATGATACAAACTGCCTCTATGACCTCTTCTGGCAACCAGCACCAGGTGTTTATGGCCCATTGTGTTAAGGGGGACTTTCAGGTGTTTATCTTGATCTCTTCCTAGCAGAAGTGGGTGCCCCTTGCACCATTGCCACAAGCTCTGCTGAAGAGCTGCTTATATTCATCTTGTCCCTAAGCTTGAGGATTTTGTAGATGTTTATCACATTYCCTGTGAAAACAGAGGGCTTGTATTCACCTCTACCAGGTGTATTAGCTTGTAACCATAGCCTGAGGTGCCAAATACCCATGGATTTACAGATCAGTTTGCTGCAGCTCATTTTGGACCAGCAAAACCCATTTTAACTCGTCACTTTTTTTTTTTGCCTGCAGGTGGATATAGTAACATAAGGKGCTATAATCTTTTATTCTTAAAGCATCATCCTCTCTCTCACCATGACAGTTGGTGCTAGGCTCTGTCCCTTACTAAAAACCATCCGTGTTCTACTACTGTTTTCTTCCCTGTATCTTTTGTTAATCCATGAAAATGAGTAAAATCCTTCCTTTCTCACCCCAACTCTGAACTTTGCCAGCACTGCAAGAAACATTTCTACATTACGAAGATGGCTGCAGTCTAAATGAATAGATGCTAACTCTGTCAAATCTCTTTTTCCTCGTGGTACAATCTTCATGAAATCAATGAAGCTCACAGTCAACCTTCTCCAAATACCGAGCCCTCATTTAAGGCCTTTTAGGGACTTTGACATCTGCACCTTCCTATCATTCATTCTTTGCACCATCTCTGCTCATTCATTTCTATTAAGGCCCAATATTACACTCAAAATTTGAATCTTTTTGACTTCACGTGCACTATTTCCACAACATTTCAACATATCAAATACYTTCCTGTAATTTATCATTGAGTCTCTAGATCCCTTTCTAAGCTCAACTACAATTTAACTACTAACATCAGGGCAGAAGTGCAATACAAAGAAGAGAGTTTCCATTCCACTCATACTGCTTTAAACTGCTGGCACACTGGGAGAATGTGCAGTTAAAAAATAGTTACTCCAAGCAGATTAAAACTGAAAAAAACATCTACAAATTGCCTAACTTTGGTGGTATCTGGTTCATCCCTACCTCTGTAGCATATTCCCATTTCCCGATGCACGCATGTTTCTATAGCTGGTCAAACATAGTGTCATCGTTGGCAGCTTCTTAAGTCACAGTTTGAGTCATGTCTGCTGTTATTCCCTTCTGTTGTAGTCCTCTGGGACCCGTATTAAACACTAAGCCCGTGACCCCAGCAACAACTGAGCATAAAAGACGAAGAAAAGCTTAAAGGCAGCATGCTAACAAATTAAAACCTTCAAGGAAAATTTCCTCTCCTGAGTGTCTGGAACATACTATAAACACACTGCTGTTACCAAAAATATCAAGTGATTTCTGGCTAATTTATTCCAAAACCTTATGCAACATATTTCATATCAGTCTGCTTATTCATCTTAAWCTTGAAATAAAGAAACCCAATCTTTTCTTGTTTGCCTGGAAGCATTCTGGCTTAGAGGAACTTTATTTGCAAGTGCTCTTCTCACATAAAGGGGACAGAAGTTAAGCTCTTGAGGAAAGAAGATTCAGGAAGAATAGTTTGTCTAAAAGTTCATTTCCTCCCAATCTTTGTCTCATTTGTGCAGCATTATTAAAAAGCAAAGGTTCTTCATTAATCCTGAAACTTGGCGGAATTGATAAAGATTCTTATCCAAGTACAYACTGCTTAGAAGGCAGGAAGGAATATACACTCTCCCTTCACATCACCCCTGCAGTACGAGTTGTTCCAGAATAAGGTAATATTTACAGAAGCATGGCCTATTTAAGCTAATATCAAAACACAACAATACAGTTTTAAAGGGCATAGCTTATGGAGTACTACAAGTGTCATCTGGATTAAAAATCATTATTACAGAAACCTTGAGAAAAGATAAAACAAGTCTTTCATCTTGTAYTGAACAGAAGTAAACCAAATTTATGATCTCCTTCTAGATTCTTCAGATTGTTGCTCTGAASAGCAGGAAGACAAATTATTTTCAGTGGAACCTGAGAAAGCTTTCCCCATTGTTAATGATCTCAATACTTTCCAGACAGGCTCATTCTTTCTTCTTCTACAGAAGTGTATTGTAGAAAAACCTGGAGACTTGTTTTTGTCAAACTGGAAGAGCTCAAAGCGGCTGCTGCTCACATGGCCTTTGAGGAACCACCACACATGAAGGATGAGGCACATCCTTCTCCTTCCATATTCTGCGTGGAGTACGTGGGCTTCACACATCTCCTCGGCAGGTTTGGAGCACTTGGGATTTTTCACTCTCGGCGGCGGAGGAGGGAAGAGGGAAGGAGAATCCAGGCCTGCTGCGTGATGCCCTCCCAGCCACCCCTCTCCCCGGTTCAAGCTTTTCAGCCAATTAGGCCAGCAGCGGGATGCGCCTGGGAAAAGCTCCCTTCCAAGGGGCTCCATCTGGYCAGGTCCTGGGCCAAAGCTCCTCCAAGGGGAGCCAAAGTCCTTGCTCGGCTCTGACACGCGGCAAGTTCAAGGCAGGCTGCTGGCGACTTCGGGGGACAGAAGGGGAGAAAATGCTTCCTCTGGGACAGCTTTCGGAGGAGGATTTTGTAAGATGCCAGTTCAGAAACTCAACTGCCACATTAATTCTTGAAATTCATGGTGCTCTAGTCTTGCAAAGGCCTCTCAAGATTCTGCAAAACTGTATTATCTTTGCACAGCTCATTGAAAAGAGAATGAGCCACCCACTTTGAAAGTAGCCTTTTTCCTYTCACTCATCTCAAAGTTTGATTATGAATCAAGTGAGAAAACTTAGGCTTCTCATACCCAGAATTAAAATAAGCACCAATATGATGTTATGAAAGTTTCAAAAGCTGGATTTTTTTTTCCAATTACTAAAGACTGCTGCGAATTACAGACAAACGTAATAACGAGCAGCTTTACTGCTATCAGAACATTAGCACTCTGGAAGCAGCATAAGCATTCAGAGTGCACTAAAACTGCATGCAAGCAGGCATGAGAAGGAAGATTTTCATTTTRAAGACCTTCGATTGAGCTACTAATAGAACTGAAACATTTTAGCAACTCTCCTAGAATTACCAAAGAGGAATATTACCAAGACCACATTCAGCCAATCCACCTGTCTTCMTAAAGCAAATGACTTTGGTGAGTTGGTTCGTGTTAAGGAGCAAGAATTGATCCTTAAAACTGAGAGCCTAATATCTATTAAAAAATAATTTAAAAAAAGGCACTAAACAGGCATTCCAAACCACAGYAGATTTACAAGTCTTCTCACTGTTTTTTGTTTTGACTCTGATTTTCCATGTGTAACAGTCAAGAGTCAATTTGATTATTTCAGAAAGGACATACTCCTGGGATAAATTTAGCAGAAAGAGTCTCCTACCAGGTTATCAAGTACCCAATTTTCGTTTTTCAGCCACAGAACCTCGCAGTTTCTCTACTTTGTTGAATGATAAACAAGGGCATTTAATTAGTTTATTCAAAGTTCACTTTCAAATCAGGCCTAAAAAACATTCTTCAAACACTCTTGTTTGGTACAGAGCGATGAGAACCCTGCTTATCAAGAGAGCCTTATGTTACTCGTGCTGCTCTAGCATAATTTAATCAAGCTCGAGCTCCAGACTAAACTGCTGCCAGACCCAGGAACTGTTCCTGCACTCTCTCCTCTTAGTCTTCACCTTATGACTGTCAAACATGCATAACCACAACAAAATTGCATTCATTGAAGCCTTACTCTTTGCAATGCAGTTTCTCTGCTGGAAGTAGAGAGCAGCATTTAGGAAGATTTTTCAGCAGCAGCCAATTTTTTCTAGCCCAGAGAGTACTGAACACAGGGCTGCCTGTACTCTCCATTCTATGACAAAAAAAACTAATCCCATCGCATGACCTGCAGCAATTCAGTTTAACAAATCAACAATTACAAATATTTTGGCAAAGTAAGCTTAGGTATTGTTTGCCTCTCGGCACAGTTCACAACCAGTTTGTGGCTTTATGATAAAAGTCATTAAATCCAATCTGAAAAGCAGAATTTACAGCTCACTTAGCAAGCCAGACCCATAAATGGATGCTTTCAATTACAGGGCATTTACATGCACAAATCATTAAGGCAACGCTGAATACATTTGAAAACTCTAGAATACTTTTATAATAATTAAAACTCTGTGCCCTGTTCTTTATACAAACAAAACTTATGAATTCTCTTCAGTTTCAATCAGAGCCCAGATTTGCTGTTATCCCCGATCCACTACAAAGCCTGTTCCCCCAGTAGTTTTGTGGGAAAGGGATTAGAGAGATGGAAACAAGTTCTGTTTTTTAAAGTCACATTCCCTAACAGAGATGTGTGAGCTCCAATAAACTCAATTACATCAACCTGTGCAACTTTTGAAGGATCAAGTGGAAGAGGAAGATGGAGGTGGGCCCTGGAGGGCCCTTCGTTTGGAGTTGCTGGGGAATTCAAGCTTGTTTTGTTTTGTTCATGCATCCAGCTTTAGGATGCAGGAAGAAATCACTGAAGAGACCAAAATACCTTTTTTTCCTCCAGTTGCGCTCTTTTTTAAATATATCAAGCAGGACCTCAGAGATGATGGAAAGTTCTTTCCAGATGGCACTGCCCTCAAGCACAGCTTCTCTGATAAAACCAAACTGGACCTTCAAACACACTTGCTGGTTTCGGTGACCACCAGCTCAGTTCGAGACTGAACCACACAACCACAAAACAGCAGCCCAACGTAGGGCCCTTCCATCAAACACCCCAACACGCTGTGAGGAGATCTCTTAAATAAACACCCAAGTTAAGCTTAGGCCACCTCAAAGGAGACCCTCCCCTTATCCTGTTCAAAGGCATTTAAATGCAGCCTCTCACCACTGTAGTGCTAAGTAAAGGGGGAGAAGGGACTTCAAAAACCCCCCTTTCCTTAACTTGCCCCCCTGTAAGGCACTGCAAACACAAGAGCCGAGCAGCAGCAGCACCCAACCCGTACTCACACGGCTATCGCTCCAGCAGCAGCAGGACAACGCGGATAAGGTCCGAGCAGCAGCCTCGCTCTGCCAGGCGCAGCCTTTCGCCTTCGCAACAAGAGGTTTTTCCCCGGATCTGGAGAACAGAGCAGAGCCCCGTGAGCCTCGCGCTGCCGAGCGCAGCCCCGCAGCAGCAAAGGCACGGGTGGGTTTGGGAGCCCCGCGTTTTGGGGAGCGGGACGCTGGGGAGCGGGCAGCGTGCAGGCTCCTGAGGGCCCTTTCAGACTTCTCCCCGCAGGCAGGATCCCAACGCCACGCGTCGCCGGCAGCACTTTCAAGAAATGTGTTTGTAAAGCAGCAAAGCAAAACTTTTCCTTTCGTGCCTCCCGCTCAAAACCACCCACTCGTCAGCGCGGGGAGCGCAACGGGCCCGTCCAGAACCGCGCCGGGCGCCGCGCGCGCCCCGTCCCGCGCCCAGCAGCCCCGGGGCCC